TATATTACATAGGTAGTGACTGTTCTTCATATAAAATATATAACATAGGTAGTGACTGTTCCCCATATAAAATATATAACATAGGTAGTGACTGTTCCCCATATAAAATATATAACATAGGTAGTGACTGTTCCTTATATAACACAGCATTAGAAGTGAAATGAAAAGTAGATCCTGTGTCACGAAAGGGCCTAGGGGTAAAAAATTCTCGCAAGGGATGTAAAACAACAATCAATCAATCAATCAATATCTGAATATTCTCGGATCATAAGTAATGAATTGTTAACTGAAGCGCATGGTTATCATTCCTTAGAAATGCATGAAAGTTGAGTTCATTTTGTTGGTATTCATAAAAACTCGGGAAAATGTTATCCAGCAGAGTATGTCCAAATAAGAACGTGGTAGGGCATTAATAATCTAAAACATTTTTTTAGGTTAAAGACCTTAATATCTCTCTCATAAACACCAATGATGTATGTAAATTTTAGAAATAGTATGTGATATACAAGTAATACAAACAAGAGGCCCATGGGCCACATCGCTCACCTGAGCCAATTGGCTAGGCAAAAGCACAAATCAGTTCAGTATTGAAAAGATTACCGGGGGGGGGGGGGGGCTTGAATTTTAAACTACCTTCCAGGTAAATTTTTAATAAATGGCTTTGTTGTACTTGAAAAGATTTTTTAAAAAAATTTGCCATATATTCCTTCAATGCAGCCCCCAAACCCACTGCCTCTACCGCCCCCCCCCCCCGTTATGAAATTCCTGGATCCCCCACTGCCCCGGGGGTCATCATTTGAACAAAATTGAATTTGCACTAGCTGAGGATGCTTCCATATCAAAATGACTAAGCATGATTTTCAGTTCTTGAGAAGAAGATATTTTCCTATATGTTCCTATGTAAAATTTTCAATCTCCCATTGGGCCCCACCCTACCCCTTGGGGTCATCATTTGAACAAAATTGAATTTACACTACCTGAGGATGCTTCCATATCAAAATGACTTAACATGGCTTTGCAGTTCTTCATCAGAAGATATTTTCCTATGTATTTCTATTTAAGACTTTGATCCTCCATTGTGGCCCCACCCTACCCAGGGGTGATGATTTGAACAAAATAGAATCTACACTACCCGAGGATGCTTCCATCTAAATATGATCAATCAGGGCTTTGCTGTTCTTGAGAAGATTTTGAAAAAATTTTCCTGTATTTTTCTATGTAAAACTTTGATCCTACATTGTGGCCCCACCCTACCCCCGGGGTTCATGATTTGAACACATTTGAATCTACACTACCAGAGGATGCTTCCATATAAATATGACCAATCAGGGCTTTCCTGTTCCTGAGAAGAAGATTTTTAAAAGATATTTTGCCTAAATATTTCAATGTAAAACTTTGATAGTCCATTGTGGCCCCGTCCTACCCCCGGGGATCATGATTTGAACAAATTTGAATCTACACTACCATTGGATGCTTCCAAATAAATAGGACTCATCATGGCTTTGCTGTTCTTGAGAAGAAGATTTTAAAAGATTTTTCCTTTATATTTCTAAGTTAAACTTTGATCCTCCATTGCGGCCCCGCCCTACCCACGGGGGTCATGATTTGAACAATCTTGAATGTACATTATTTTAGGATGCTTCCATATAAATATCACTCATCATGGCTTTGCTGTTCTTGAGAAGAAGATTTTTAAACAATTTTCCTATATAATACTATGTAAAACTTTGATCCTCCATTGTGACCCCGCCCTACCCCCGGGGGTCATGATTTGAAGAAATTTGAATCTACACTACCTAAGGATGCTTTCATATAAATATGACTCACCATGGCTTTGCTGTTCTTGAGAAGAAGATTTTTAAAGGTTTTTCCTACATGTATATATTGCTATGTAAAACTTTGATCCTCCAATGTCGCCCCGCCCTACCCCCGGGGGTCATGATTTGAACAAACTTAAATCTACACTACCTGAGGATGCTTCCATATAAATATGACTCATCATGGCTTTGCTGTTGTTGAGAAGAAGATTTTTAAAGGTTTTTCCTATATATTTCTATGTAAAACTTTGATCCTCCACTGTGGCCCCGCCCTACCCCCGGGGGTCATGATTTGAACAAACTTGAATCTACACTACCAGAGGATGCTTCCAAATAAATAGGACTCATCGTGGATTTGCTGCTCTTGAGAAGAAGATTTTTAAAGATTTTTCCTATATATTTCTATGTAAAACTTTGATCCTCCATAGTGGCCCCTCCCTACCCCCGGGGGTCATGATTAGAACAAACTTGAATCTACACTGCCTGAGGATGCTTCCACATGAGTTTCATCTTTCCTGGCCCTTTGGTTCTTGAGAAGAAGATTTTTAAAAGATGCTATTAATTTTTCACAAATTCTCTATTATCTCCCCTTGAAAGAGGATGTGGCCCTTCATTTGAACAAACTTGAATCCCTTTTACCCATGGATGCTTTGTGGCAAGTTTGGTTGAAATTGGCCCAGTGGTTCTGGAGAAGAAGATGAAATTGTGAAAAGTTTACAACGACGACAGACAACGGACAAATTTTGATCAGAAAAGCTCACTTGAGCCTTCGGCTCAGGTGAGCTAAAAAGCATGCAAGATTTGGAGAAAATAAAATATAACAATTTGAAATTATATGTAGTAAAACTTTGATACTATTGTAAACGATAGTTAAACATAGTATTTTTTGTAAGGGTTCAATTGACAACACAGAACTACTGCAAGATTGTATCTTAAAGGTGTAGCAACCGGAAGTAGACCAGGTACAATTGGTGATCAAAGAAACCACCGTTGCTGACATAGCTCTCTAAATCATTTGAGGATCAGGGAAACCACCGCTGTTGAAATTTTACTAACAACTTTCCATAGGTAACTGCCAACTTAGATCAGTGCACAAAATGTGCGCAATCGGCTTCCGGGAAAGAAAACCGCTATAGAATGTGAAGTGTTGACACCGAGACATCGGGAAATTTGAATTCAGTAGGCAAGACAGCATATTGGATAAATTAGCGAGTTTACAAAGAAATTATAAATTGTTGATTTTTAACCGTTCGTTCGCTAAGATATTTATTTCCATCTTTATAAACATACTGAAATAAAGTTTCTAAAAACCAAATGAAATTGTACTGATGTTTTAATAAATAATAAAGAAATATTGGATTGCTCAAGATTCGACATTAACGCTAGTCCGTTAAGTCTCAGACTAATGCAGTTTTATTTGGACTTATAAAGTATCTTTCATTTAAGTTCATCTTATTCGGCCCAAGGTTCTCGAGAAGACTTTAAATGACTCCACCCAATTTTTACTTTTTCTAAATTATCTCCCCTTGGTAGAGAAATGGCCCATCATCAGAAAAAAAAAAAAACTTGAATCCCATCAACCAAAGTTGTGCCAAGTTTAGTTGAAATTGGCCAAGTGGCTCTAGATCTATTTTGCTGGTCACAAAATTTCAATAAATTTGTTATTTAAAAAAAAACGCTTCTCGTAAATGCTTTGTTCATTTCAATGAAAAGTATAAAAAGTGCAGTGTAATAATAATTTTTAAGCTACATATAATCGATACAAAATATTGATGCATTTTTTAATGGACTATTAAAAAAGCCTGCGTACTAATAAAAATAAAATATCACTAGTCCAGCTGGACTAATGCCCAGAAAACTTATCCCTGATTACTTGGTGTACTTTGAAATTTTCTGGAGTATTTACTTCTCCTTCGCGGCGATCTAATTTTAGCTGAGGAAATAAACAACACCATCCAAATAAACAATTAAGTTAATCACAAAGTTTTCTCATAACCATTTCAAGAATCAATGGACTTGAACCATTGGAAAATACAGACCAAACTAAGCAATTGTGATCATTTTGTTTTCGTAGACTTAGTTCATAATAAATACATGCTTTAGTATTTTAAGATCTCTTATAAATTATTTAGTGCAAAGAGTCCCTCCCGATTTGAATAAATGTTTTAAAGAAAAAAAAAAGAAAAAAAAAAGTGAATAGATTAATTTCCAGTTGACTTCTATATTTCTTTAAACTAGGGAATCACTTGCTGTATACTTTTTAAATGACCACAGTCACTTGAATGGATCTGTTTTACGTTTTAAGCTGATCACAAATTCTAGATGTCATCAATAATTGTGAAAAGATCTTTTTTTAATGAAGCTATGCCTCATTAAGTTATAATTTCTACACGCTATTAAAATCTCTAAATTTCAACACTTCCGTTATCGCAATTTTTTTTATTCAATTCTGATGTGCGAATACATATTCATTTTAATGCAGTAATACTTAAATGATGAAAATCTCCAACTTTCACGTCTTTTTCCAAAGACACTTAAGAAGTTGAAATAACATTCAATATTACAATTGAATGACTTTCATAATTTTTTTATTGATATCTTAATCAAACGTTTTGAAGTAATGTTTTAATATACTCTTACTTTTCAGACGAAGCTAACAAACATGCTAGCAATTGTATATACTTAATTTAAGCTTTTTTGAAAACTTAATCCGTCTCCATTCTTCTTTCTTGTCAGTAAATCTAGAGATTGGCATCACTATCTCACCTCAATTCATTATATGCATACTTTGATTACAAATATCACTTTAAAATAATCCCCACTTAAAAGACACTAACTTAAATTAATCGTGCGGTAATGTCTTAGATTCTCACAATTACTTAGTGTTAGGAATCATATCCTAAGGAATTATAAATGTCTTGTGAAAATGTGAATTCAAGGCGTAAAGCTTTATCCTGTATGCACACACACAAGGATAGAGAGAGGTAACTTTCCCCACCTTGACACAATTGGATTTTGATGGAATGAATTAAGATACAAATATAATACCTCTATCGTTAATTTAACAAGTAAAGTTCATCTAAAGCCTTAGTTTTACGTTAAATTTAATATTATTTGAGATTAATGTTAAAATAACATTAACCACATTTGTCGGTGTTCCGTATAAAAAATATGTACAAAACATTGAAAAATGTATAGTAGTTTATCTTTTCTTATGATTATGTAACATTTGTCTATACATATAGTGAAAAACACTCTTGTACAGTCAGTCATACAACATGACGCGTAGAATTTTTTTTGGCACTTGGTCTTGAATGAAGATTCCAGTCTCCATCATCTTCATTCTTCTGTGGCAAGTGTTACGCTCATATATAATCATATCTGGCACTGAATCAGATAACGAATTTCTTATCACCCTGTTCTTAGTCTGTAAACCTTGCTATCAGATTGTCAGTCTGACTAACAATCAGTTGTCACTGAACTCTTGCATCACACGAGGATGAGCTGAGAGAGAGATGCCATGAATAACTTTGCAATAATGGCCACTTCCTTCCGAGTAACACGTGCACCATATGTTGTTTTGTTAAGTCAAAAATACATCATATATAGAGGAGTGTACATGAATTGCAGCAATGAAGTCATGGAAAGCTTTAGACAAATTTTAAAAATGAAATCTAGCCATTTGTTGTCTCTTGAATATCGAATGTATTGGTGTTGAGATTCTTTTCCTAAAGATGACTTCTCAAATATTAGTCATATCCTCTCTCTAGACAACGTTGAAGAAGATTTGATTGTGCCAGGTCGGAATCATCATTACACTGCATTTCTATATGAATTCCAGGAAGTCTGTTCTTTAATGCGCGCACACTACTACTGTACAACATCCGCTGTTTCACTTGAATAGTATCCGGAATCCTGTATACATAAGATTTATAAAGAATATCGATAATTTATATAAACTGAACTAAGCTCACATTTTTCATCCGTTTTTTTTTTGTTTTTTTTTTTTTAGAATTTGATGTACTTACCATAAAAAGAAAACTATTTTGTTCACCATTCGTTCTTTGACAGAGTAATTAAAATCAAAAACTCCATATCGTCCTTCTCCCTTTAATCCTGCGTGTTGAAGTTCCGTAACGAAATTGTCATACGTACATCCTTCAAAAAGTAAAGGGTAAATAATTATTCTCTATATAATTAAAGGTGATTTAACAGTATTATGAAATTGGTTCCTTCAATTGCATCCTTTTGCAAGTTCACAAGACAATTTCAGAAAGTTTTACATTTAGGCTTTTAAGTAGTTTTTTGTCTAATAATACTAACCTACTGGTCCAATTTTGTCAACTATGATGCGTTTTTTGTCGTCTGATAGACGGTATATGATGAACTGAGAGGAATGCTGAAGTTGTAACTTAATGTACGACTGAATACAATTGTCATCTACCTCTACACCGGAAGTCTGATAAAAAAAAAACCATGAGATTAATTGTAAAGAATTTTTTTTCAACATTAAGAAATAAATCATAGTTTGATTTCCTGTCAAAATAGTTTACAATGGAAGGGTCATTTTTAATAAACAAGTTTTTACAACAGGTACTCCAACAAGGTATACATAGCCCAGTAAAACTCTCCTACTTATGTTGTTACGAACAGTAATCAAGCTAACAAGCAAATTCAAAGAATTGTGGTCCCCCGCTTTCGGTGACTTTGTGGATGGGATGCCATTATTTATGGCATATTGTAACTGTCTTCGTCAAATTTCAAGGTCAAGGGGGTCAAAAATCGTAGCATATTTGGAAAGGTCTTGCCACAGATAATGTACTCAAACATGAAAGACCAATCCCTTAATCAAAAGTTATAAGCAAAGATAAATTTTAGAAATGTAGTTCAAACTTCAAGGTTAAGGTCATGGGGGTCAAAAGTCATAGTATATTTAGCAAGGTCTTGTCACAGGTAATGTACTTGTGTTATATGAAAGCCCTTTCTTGTTCAAATTTTATAACCAATTTAAAGTAATGTGAAAATTTTTGAAAAGTAGGTCGAACTTCAAGGTCAGGTCATGGGATCAAAATCATAGCATATTTGGAAAGGTCTTGTCACAGGTAATGTACATGTCAAACATGAAAGCCCTATCTCTTTTAAATCAAAAGTTATAAGCAAAGATTAACTTTATGAAAAGTAAATCAAACTTCAAGGTCAAGGTCACAAAGTCATAGTATATTTAGAAAGGTCTTATCACAGGTAATATACATGTATAATATAGAAGCCCCATCTCTTCTCATTGAAGAGTTATGACCAATTTTTGGAAAAGTAGGTCAAACTTCATGGTCAAGGGGCCAAAAGTCATAGTATATTTAGAAAGGTCTTGTCACAGGTAATGTACATGTGAGATATTAAAGCCCTATTAATTCTCATTCAATAGTTATGACTAAGGTTAACATTTTTGTGACAGACTGACGGACAAATGAGATTTAATGTCCCCTCGCTTTAGCGAATGCGGGGGACAAAAAGTCCATCAAAACGATACAAATCGGGAGTAGAGCAAAGATGGACCTCTAAAAGCATCAGAGGTAGGATCAGGTGCCATGGAGGAGTAAGCATCCCCTGTCGACCGGTCATACCCGCCGTGTGCTCCTTGTCATGATCAGGCAAACGGAAAAAAATCCGTAGACAATCCATTGTGTAAATAATGACCTAACAATGAGTATGAAACACGTCAATCAGCATTCGACTTAATAATAGATTGTATTTGCTGTCAAGGTCATTGTATCGACCATAGAACTTGCAAAATGTCGACCGTAGAACTTGCGAAATGTTGACTTCAAATAAGATTGTTGATATCCTTGTTTCATCAACTTGTTTGTCAATAGACCTCGTTTTAGAAATTATTCATACATAGAGCATGTATGCGTATCGAATCAACTGGTGGACCTAAACTCCACATGCAGGTGATAAGGGTATATTGACTAAGAAAGATGTCCCGGTCACGCTTTCGATAAGAAAGATAAGACAGAAAGTTTTTTTTATCTCATAACTTGGTATTGGTGCGTTTGTAATTTATTGTGACTAATTGTTGACTAGAAATTAAGTTACACATTGTACATAATAAAAGGTAGTCTGTGCCACATTCAGAATATTTTGCAAAAAATTAATAAATAAATAAAAAAACACTTTGAGTATAAGGAAAACGAGCAGCATCTCATCGGCATTTGAAGACCAACAAAGTTTTTTTTCTTTACATTACAGTATGCGTGGACTCGTGTCTTTTGTCTTTGGCCAGGGAATCCACCTAAAATTTGTATTGACTAATAGACGGACGCAGTTCGCCTTACAGATTGGTTTGAAAAACTCAGAATTCTTCATTTATTTAATAATAGTTTTTAAATGTGAGCATGTAAATATAGATAGTAATGGACATACTGTTTTTCATCTATGAAATGCATAAAAAAAACAATGTTGTTTTTCCGATTGCGAGTATATTTGGTCTTTTCCAAGCGTAAGATTCCTTTAGTATTCATACATGTAGTAACCCATAGTGCAATTCAACTCATTCATCTGATTTGTCGGTTTTAAGTCATTGCTTAGCATGTAAATTTAGTCTGACGCCAGGAAATGCAGTTCCCATGAAAGCATGTTTGTCCAAAAAGAAATTTTAATACATAACTGCAAAAAAAAAAAGAAATGCCATAAAGAATACTTATTAAAGAAGTTTGAATGAGTTTTAGACATATTTAAAAAGTACATTTCCACTGATATCATACAGTGGTGAAAACAGAGACGTAACATTACTTTGCTATGCCTCTTTTACTAATAATGTCTCCACGTGATAGTCACTTCCTAGCTACACTTTCGTGAATATTTTGCTTTATTCATTAAACAGTCTCGCTGTATAGTCTCATTAATTTGTAGCCAGAGCTACTGCGAACTCCTCGGGTATTATAATCTGCAGGACACCGAAAATTAAAGGTTCCGAACACATTAGTAGGGGTGTAAAAGGTACATGTAAATGTATTCGCACGTTAAAGCAGGACTTACAAAGACATCGATTATTAAGTGATAGAAGTTACACAAGTTTTCAAGACACGGTAGCATAATCATGGTTTCTATATTATATACATTAGCTACCTATACTTTTATGCGCTTAGTTAAGAAGGTTACACATGCTTGCATTTTCGTTTAATAAATATGCCAGTCAACTTATAACAATGGATTCGCCTGAAAATACATCTCTATCGTTTACAAAGAAGGGGGTTGTAGCGAAGATTTTATTGGGTTTACATTATTTACTTTGGAGCGAGAAGTTTGTTGTATTTGACCCGTTGCATGCGAGTATGGAACAAGATTCGTTATCTTAATGAAAACAAATTTTTGTTAAAGAAACACTCGAGTAAAATTAACAATTATCCAAAGCATCGGCATATAATGTACTTTGTCATTTGGAGCTCTTCGCAATATTGACGGCAGAGAAACAATATTGGAAGACGGCCAATCCCACAGCGAATTCCCCAAATATCTGTGTGATATGTACATTCAGTGCAAGTCTTGCATTCCGAGTGGAAAACGAATGCTCCGTATTGAAAATGTGTTAAGTAGATGCAATAATCATCGACATATTGGGAGGTACAAATAAAGTAGTTATGAATAATTCACTGTTAAATATTAAAACAATATTAGGAGATACTGAATTTGAAGGGGAGAAAATCATGTCAAAGTTTTCGTCTCAAACGCAAGACAAAGAATAAAAATTTTATTGTCATAAAACTCATCTGCTCCGATTTTTTAGGGAAAAGATCAATTAAATTTTAAAATAGAAGTTTAATTTCATTAAAAAAAAGTTTAATTGTATGGTAAATTTCGAGTAAGATAAGTAACAGTCTTAAGCGAATTGTAAGTATTTTTACAAGTTGTTAAATAAAACAAAAATATGTTCCAAAACTTGCAGATAAAGTATTATTATGAGTTTTTATATGTATTAAAAAGTTAATACATACCGGTCCTGTACCAAATCGTCTTGCCATATTATGTCTCTGAAAAAGGTAACACTGATCTTCACATAGACTCTTTGTTACGCTAAGCAATCTTTAGCGTAAAAAATTAGTAGCAGATTGCCATCTTAGCACTTATATATATACATAGATATGAGTAATATTCTCAGAAAGTTTGAGCGTGCCTGCACTGTTCAATATAGGCTTGTCTTCCTCGATACCGCTGTGATGATGCTACACAAAGACGTCGAAAAAGTGGCGGATCCAATGAGAAGTTGCAGCTAACCAACACAAACAAGTATATGTTAAGGTAACTAGCTATCGTTCATAATTCAATAAACTAACAAGGTTTTGCCAAAGTTTTAGGGATATTTTTAATGCTCAATAAGTTTGAAAAGCCTTTAAGTCAGAACTTCATCCACTACCTCTAAATACGCAAAGACGGAAATCTTTCTCTCCTGTAGGAAAGGGGGAGGGTTACCGACGCCCCCAATAACTTTGCCAATATAGATGTATAATGTAGAGTAGGAAAAACAATTGATAACGGCTGATAACCCTTTTTAATTGTATTTTTTAAAATTGATTTTTTAAATTTATTTTTTATTTATCAAGGAATTTCTGTTAAGCGGAATAAATGGTTAAAAAAATCTTTTCAAGAACACAAAGCCATGGTAAGTCATATAAATGGGAGCGTCCTCAGGTAGTATAGATTCAAGTTTGTTCAAATCATAGCCCCATGAAGTAGGGTGGGGCCACTTTAGGTGATCAAAGTTTACCATAGAAATATACAATTGTATAGGAAAATATTCTCTAGAACAGCGAAGCTATGAGTAGTCATTTAAAATATGGAAGCATCCTCTGGTATCGTAGATTCAAGTTTGTTCACCCCAAAGTAGGGTGGGGCCACAACAGGAGTTCAAAGTTTTACAAAGGAATTAGAGGAAAATCTTCCTCTAATAAATTTAAGAGCAATTATTACTCATATTGTGTTTATCTTTATACCTTTACAAGTTTTATTCGTATCTGAATGAAATTTTCAGGCCACAGTGAAAATTGGAAAGAGGTATTAGTATATTCAATTTCAATTTATTTTTATTGACAACACCATCATACATTGGCATATAGTCATGAATACAACAAACAATAACATACATGAAATCAATAAAAATTATTCCAGTAAGCATATCAGTTATGTTGAAGTTTTTTCTTTTCTAATATCAAAGCACTTTTTCAGAAAGTTACATACTCTTCTAGCAATTTTAATACTGAGAGGGTTGATAATGTCAATAAAAGGGTTTTCCTTCATGTAACATTGAGCATTAAATATATCACAATATTGCAATCTATACTGATCATAACTAGGACAATAAAGTATCAAATGTTTTTCATTTTCAATAAAAAGTTTACAAGCATGACATACACGTTTTTCTGTAGGAATAGGTGGTCTTGAGTATCTCCCCATTTCAATATGCAGTATATGAGTACTGATTCTTAGTTTTGTTAGGTTCTTTCAGATTTCTTCAATGGTACATGTAATTGAAGGTAGTTCTGTAATTTATATTCATTTAAAATTATTATATTACTATAAAAAGTTAATTTTCCAGAATCTGATTTAGAAATGTTCTTCAACTGTTCACAGATTTTGTTCCTATAGTGCTCCTCTAATTTATGTCTTAAAATTTTATGTGATATGTCCAATGAGGATAAAGACAATTTCCGTTGTAGAGTAAAAAGTTTTCTTTGCCAAGATATTCTCGACCCCAGTGTTTTATCTTCCTTAAATGCAGACACCACTAATTGGTCATGATGCTCATTCTCTGACTCTAAATTTTTAAATCTTGAATAAAATTTAAAAAATATTTTCATAACATGAATAAAATAGTGGGAAATGTCCCAACTCGTATAGAACAGCAATATTAGATGATTTTCTATGAACACCCAGAATGTCTTTAAATATCTGGAGTTGTATTTTTGGGAAATGATCTGAGGATAATAAATCACATTTGTAGTCGGCAATCCAAATTTCAGAACCATAAGTTAAGATCGATATATGTATATTATATATATATATACATGTATGTATAAGTATATTAAGTATTGATGATGACTTCTTATTAATACACATTTCCTAGCACTTGTAATATTACTTTTGGATCAACCCTTGTATGGAAGCATCCTCAAGTAGTTTACAATCAAGTTTGTTTGGATCAGGGCCCCCTGAGAATAGATTAAGGCTACAATAGTGGATCAGAGTTTAACAAGGAAGTACGTATGAAGAAAACTTTTCCAAGAATAACAAGCTTAAGGCCACACTTTTAAGTAGGTCTAAGGTTTGGTCCATAATATTGAGTAAAATAGCAGGGCCATAGCGACTCAGGTGAATGTTGTGGCCCATCGGCCTCTTGTTTTCGCTTTAAGGTCATACGCAATACATGTACCTTACAATGTGCTTTTTTCACTGGTGATTTTCCGAGAAATGTTTTATTTAAAAACATATCAGATGTTGTTACACAAAAAAATCAGCATACATTCCAAAGAGTTTTTAAGACATCAAGTGATGAAAATCCTAGTATTTTTTAAAGAAAAACTAATAAATAAAAAAAATACCTAGTTTTAGCCTGTATTTCCTCAGAATTTGATTCAGAAAAGGTATACAGCATTACCAGGTATCATAAAATCGCACAAAGGTCCTTCAGTTATGGGAACTCTTACATTATACAGGGAATAAGAAAGTAAAGTTCAAAACTTCCTTATTATGGTAATTATCCAGAACAGTCAGGGATATATACATGTATGTATACTCTTAAACCTTTTAGAACATTTGAATAAATACGAATTCTTTTGTCATCCATTTATGGTGCGTCCTCATTACCGACTTTATACACTACTTAGGCATCATCGTCGCAAACCACGGCCAAAATGTAGGAGAGAGCTATTTGCGGACTCTGAAACATAGGTTGAGACAATGCTTAAGCATTGAATTCTTATTTTTGGATGTCGTCGGTCCTATAACAGTACCTGTCCGTGCCGACAAATTATCATACCTCCCCGCACTACAGTAGAAACACTTTTGACACTATAAAGGAGAAATAATCCGAGATAGTTATAAATAGAGATTGACTAGGCGAGATAATTCAACTTAACGACTTTGCATGTTTTTGTTCCGTACGGTATGCTAACCTTCCATAAAGACTGCGAATTGCCGCCTGTCTCCGGATCGATCTTTCATATTTGAGTGATAAACATTTTTTTTTATTTTTTTTTGAATTGGTATAAAGATTTTTTTTTTAAAATTCTACTTATTGTGTCAAAACGAGAAGGGATAACTTTGTTTTATCTGTATTTAACATTTTCACTGTAGAAATGGCGAACGGAAATTATTTTTACCCACCACCCCCACTCCCTTTGAATCGAGACTTAGAAATTGAAGGAAGTTCAGCGTATCGATATGATATTGTCAAAGATGCAATGAAAACAACTTAAGTTGCAAAATTAAGTTATCTCTCCTGGTTAGCCTCTCTAACAATCACGGTTCTTGTGAGTTTAATGTGATGAATCTGGTTTTAATTATTATATTAGACATTTACCCCTATGTCGTGATCAGCGACAGGGCCCAAAACTTAGACACTCTAAGGAGTGCCAAATTGGCTTAGACTCTAGCTCTTGCAGCAAACAATCCTCATAAAATTTAGCTTTAAGAATAAATATTCAGATGTGGAAAAGAATATACTTTATATGTTTTTAAATGTCTTCAAACAACAAAAATACTATTTTTTTATAATTACTAACAAAGGTCAGTAAATATTGTTTAGTTGTTAATTATAAAAATATATAAAAACTTGGATAAAATTTGTTTTGTTTTGAAAATAATTTCTTAAAAAGGTACATAACTCGATGTATGAAATCAAAGAACTGTGAGTACTGATAGGATATAAAAGTTTCACGTTCCCATAAAGAATATCTTGAAAAAAAAGCAAAACACAAGTCCCATTATCTAAGTTTTATTGATCTTTTCCGACATACACAAAACCAAGATCAATAGAAAACATTGTTATGGTCGGATGACACCTTCAATAAAAGTATAGTTTTAATCAAGAGTTTGTGACTGATATATTGCTATACTTAAACAAGTTTCCCTCACAAAATAACCAAGCATTTCTGCAAGATTTCAGAGGATGATATTTCCTAAACGATTCTCCTGGAAATCACTTGAATTGCTGATATCACTTTTTTTTTCTGGTCACCTGAGTCACTCAGATGACCTATTGCTATCTGTTTTTGTTCTTCGTCGTTCGTAAACATTTGGACATTTTCAGCTTCTTCTATTAAACCGCTGAATCAATTTCAACAAATTTTGGCATACAGCATCTATGGGTGAAGGCAAACAAAAATTATGGATTTCACCCCCCTTCCCCATTGGAGCCTTAGGGATGGTGCTAAATCTATTAAAACTAATGCAATATTTAAAAATCTTTTCTATTCCTGGACATCGAGCAGTAAAACTGTTCGCATGATTGTAATAAGCAATGAGCCCTCTACCAAAATTATGAAATTCACGGCCCCAGGGTAGGGGTTCTGGTGCTAGTGCTAGATAGATTATATAGTGAAAGTGCACTATTTCTTTGAGAATCTTCTTCTCGGCTCCTAGGTATTAAACAAAGAGCATAATGAAAGAAAAAGTGAGCAAACTCACATATCCCACGTTCCCCCAGAACTCGACAATGCAACACGTATTAATAGCACAGTGTATTTTAAATACACAGTATAATTCAAAAAGGGGCATTACTTGCAAAAAATCATCACATCAAAACTTCTTGCTTATAGGGACATTCAAATCTTTGTATGTTACAAATTTAATTGGGCTGAAGTTTCTAGATAAATAATGGAATCAAAATTTCTTGGTAATATACAAATCTATACATTATGTCTGAAATACCTACAAAGATTCAGGATATTCAGTGCAGGAGTTATGCTGACAAACTGTTATTTAAATTCCTCAGTGATTTCGATTTGTTAATGAGTGTAAGTCCATGTCCAACACATGACGACTTACACATTTAAATAACTGATGGAAACAAAATTATGATTTAGTCATATGAATTTGTTTATATACTGCACTTATGAAATTATTTAAGGCAAAGCATCAATTTGAAGGGGGGGGGGGGGATGAGAACTATCCAAGATTCAAGATTTTGTGTGTGTTGAATCATTAATATTTTGATCTAAAAATCAATAAGGGTCTTTTAAGGTCTTAAAATATTTCACATCAAATGGCATTACAAAGGCTGATTCCAGTGTATTTCCTTATTA